ATTTTTCTCATGTGGGTCCCAAAAAATGTGTGTACATCAAGAATTTATGAGAAGGAATACCGGTTGGGAGTAAAAAATGAGAGTGTATATAATATTTTCCCTTTATATATATAAAAAAATACTATATGTACTCCTATATTGTACTTCCATATACTAAATCTTGATGTAGACATTTATATTAAAATCTACATGAAAAAATAGCTTATCAAAATCCGCCACATCAGGGAGTAAAATTAGGAAATACATACAATACAACTTTGTATATATCTAGGATCATATATTTGATATATATTTCCCCTATCTACCAGCCTCATCATCTCATTATAAATATTAAACCAACTTAATTCACATATACCAAACCCTCTCTAGCCTACTACATACTACGTCACTGACAACTCCCGAAATTCTTCTCCCTCATCATCGACATCGCCGATCATCTTCAATCAAAACTGAAAACCTCTCTTTTCAAACTCCACCGAACTCGATCCAATTAATCTCTGCAAAAAACCGTCAAAACCCAGAAACAGAAAAGCCAAATTCCCTCCCGGGTTTCTTTAATTCCATGGCCACTCCTCCACTTGCGCCGCCGCCGCCGCCGTGCTCGGAGGATTACAGGTGGAAGCTCTCAAAGAAAGACGGCGCCACCAGAAGTAGCCGCTCCAGTTCCTCCTCCTCGTTCAACATCAAAACCTCTTCTTCTTCTTCTTCTTCTTCTTCGTCTCGCCGGCGGTGCGCTTTCACCAGAAAATGCGCGGCGCTGGTGAAGGAACAGAGAGCCAGATTCTACATCATGCGGCGCTGCGTAATCATGCTCATCTGCTGGCGCGACTACAACGATTCTTGAAATGGCGGCGTGACGGCCGGCGAGGGAACAAGACGGGATAGATGGTGTCCGAGGATGTTCGTGGAGGTTGAGGATGTCCCATATATAGTACGTAGAAGAAATGATCAAGTCTTCAACATGTAAATAATACAGAGCACTACTGGAGCAGTATATATATATATCTACATCTACATATATCTATCTATATATGATATATAAAATAGGTTAATTAATATATAGGGTTTTGTTTTCGTTAACTGTTTTTCTTCTATTTTTGTTAGTTTTTATTTTCTACTAATTATTTCCTCTATTAAATCTAAATCTCCATTACCATCCATGCATCAAATTAAATACCAGTTGATGGGTCATTTTTTTTTCCATTTAAGAATAAGCATCATTTATTTCATTTTTGTCTCTCATTATTATTGATGATTAATTACAAAGGATGATATATATATATATATATATATATATATATATATATATATATATATATATCTTTGAGATCTAATACAGATTGAGAGAGAGAGAGGGATTCCATTTTGTGGGTTGGCTAGGTGCAGGGCTGTGTGGATCTGGTGTGGGAGAAGAGGAGAGATCATGTTTTAATTGAATTCTTAATTAATTTTGGGTAAAAGAGTTAACACTATAGGGATTCTTCGAGTATAATGATTTTGTCACGTTCAGTTCTAAACTTTTAAATTGTAACTTTTTTACTTTCAAATTATTATCATTTGTGATCATTTTCAAAAAAAAAAAAAAAAAGTGATCCAAGTTAATTACTCTTAATTATCATTTGTGAGTTTTGAAACTTGATTAGTGATCTTTTAATGTCACGATAAAGAATAATTGTTGTGATTTTTATGGAGGAAAAAAAAAACATTTGTTGTTGAGTAGAAATTGATTGTAAAAAGACATGATTAACAGTTTCCTAGGAATATAAAATCTAAGATTACAGAGGCTGTACAGCTGTAACTACGTATTGTTTGGGTGACCGAAGAGGCATCTCAGAGATGCTGTTTAATTTTTCTAACCCCAATTCTTCTGCACCATTACTTTTCTGTTCAGATTATTAATTATTATTAAACTTTGTACTAAAACTATACCGTCCATATCATAATATTATTATAGTTACTCGATTATGCTTTTTATATTCAGAGTTCCAAATATATAATTACTGCACCATGTGACAATAACTCTTATAACAATATATATATTTGTGCTCATAAAAAAATTGATTAGGTAAATGAAATATGATTTTTGTATTAAAAAGTCATGAATTTCAATTTATTCTTTGACAAAATCTTTTTTAATTTGATTTAAATTCATGCACATTTTTGAATAGCTATTGAAATTGTGGCGTAATTATTTAAAAAGAAATATTTTATTTTTATTTTCGAGATATATGCCTAAGTATGAAAAGTATACCTTATCAGTTGTAGAATTTTTCATTAAAAAAAAAAAAATGTGTGGAGAGTTGGATTTCTGGGGGAGAAATAAATAGGCTCAAGCTTCCATGTGAATCCTGATTTGTTTCAGGGGGTTTGACCAGTGATGGACCACCTTGACTTTTCTTCCTTAGCCACAAGGGTTTATGTCGGTAAAATTTTCATATTTCACCGATTGCGTCACTTTAATTTACAGGGAAAAAAAAACTACACTATCACTATTTAAAAAGAAAAAAAGATGCTAAATTTGGGCATCGTCTCCACACTATAGCCTCAAGATTCAAACTTTAATCTTCTCTTTTAAATACTGTTTCCTGAATAATTGAGCTAAGTTCATACAAATAAAGGTATTGTAGAGGTGTTAATTCTAATGTAGACCTTGTTTGGTAAAATAGTTAACTTATCAACCAATTTTAGCTTATTTGATCACTATTAGCTGTTTAACTTGGTTAAACAATTAATATGAGCATTTGATTAATTAGTTTTTTGTAATAACTTATTGCTTTAAAATATTAAAATTTAAAAAGCTATTCAACATAATTTTTTCGATCAATTTTTTAAGAAAATCATCTTATATATAATTAGTTAACAGCTAATTTACCAAATATTTTTTAAAATAATTAATATTATCAACTAGTCAAACTCACTAACCGAATTAACTAACAGCTATCAGTTACCCGTTATTTGTAATGTTTAGTATTGGGACATTAGAGTGGAGAGGGGGCAGATAGAGGGAAGGTGTAGTGTTGTTGTGAAGGGCAAGGCAAGGTCGTGGAGCAGAAGGTGGCAGTAAAAGGGAGTATGGGAGTGTGTGAGATTGGTTTGGAAATGGAAATCCTCGGAAAACATGAAAAGTGATTTAAACAAAAGGCAAACATTATATTAAAAAAATAACGTAGGCAATAAGGAAAGAGACAATTATTATTAATATTGGGAAATGGAAGATTAAGCTCAATATACACTCACTGCGTTTGTAGCTAGTATAGGCAGCTACCCTTCTCTCTGCAACTGTTTTCTGCAAGCTGACAACACTGCATTTTCTCTTTTCACGAGACCTCCACATGAGCCCATCTTCATACCTTAGTTTTAAATTTTAATGGCCTTCTGTTCTTGTTTTTTTTTTTTTTGCCTAGGTTATTAATTAAGGTGAGAGGGTCATTGAATTTATCATTTTATCATTGAAACATAATATTAACTGTTAAGTATAAAGAAATAAAATTAGTTTTTTGTACCTTTTACGTAGGTTGTTAATTAATGTTACTATTAGACAACAGTTCAGAGAGTCAAATCTAGTATTTAATCATTGAAACACTTTTCTATAACAGTTAATGTTATCAACTAATTATACATTCTAATTAACACAGGGCCGGATTTTAGGCTGTGCAAGCTGGGCTACCGCACAGGGCCCCCAATTTTAGAGGGGCCCCAAATTTTAGAGGTCCAATATTTAATATTTACCTAGGTAGTTTAGAAATAAAAATTAAAAGTTTACAATAAATTTAAAAAGGTTCTATGAAGAGATGGTATAAATGTGTATATATTGTATTTTAACTTGGAGGTCAAAAGTTCGAAACTCCCATATCTTACTTTTAAAAATTTAGATTTTGGAGGGCCTCAGTTATTTACCAGAACAGGGCCACACAAACCTAAAATCCGGCCCTGAATTAACACAATCAGCTAACAGTTATCAGCTAATAGTAATTTACCAAGCAGGGCCAATGTTAACTGTTACATAAATATTAAAAATAAATTATATATTTATTATAAATTATTCGGAGTAATTTTTAACATAGTGATAAACACTTTATTGGAAGGTATATATTTCTAGTTAGTTGTGGTTTGATGTGACAAGGAAAGTGTTTGTGTGCATTGTCTTGTGAGGTGTTTTTGGGATAGGACACATATTAATGGAGTTCGTTCGTGTTGTTTACGAAAGGGATTCACCGCCATTGTGTTCCTTGGAAACATTGAATGCAACACTCCTTTGCTCTATCATGGTAGTTATGGCTTTTATCTTTAATCATGCATGGACCACATCAATATATAGTATTAAGTCAAAGTATTATCTGAATTGGTCGGACTCCAAAACCTTATAGTTTAGTGATACTAATTTATAATGATTGGATTTAACTCTAAATTGTGTTATCGACAAGAATTGAACTCCCACACTAACCTACAAGACGTAAAATTAATACAGAAGTGCCCACAAGGAATCCAATTCTAAACTATGTTACGAACAGAAATCGAACTATGTCTTATGGACAAGTGAAATATGAAATTCGACAACTCCATGACACCTAACCTAGACTACATACATGTGTGTGTTAGAATATGGAATGGTTAATTAGGTACAACTTCCATGTCTAATATCCAGAGGGCCCAATTCAGTTTTAAGGATGTCTCATATGTGATATGCTCCTGTCACTCAATCTCTTTAGTTGCACTAAAGTTCTCTTTCTTTTTTTTTTGTCTTTTCTTCTTTTTTTTCCCAAATTTTTCGACTTTGCTGAACTATATACTGGACCTTAAAAACTCACCCCGGCACTCAACACAAAAAGTCAACCCAAATTCCCAATATTCGTGAATGGAATCGAACGGTTGCCCTGCCACTGAAAATAAATCTTAAATGAAAATTCTTCTATCCACTAGACCAATATCTTGAGGTATAGTTACACTAAAGTTCTGTCCTATTATATGAATGTAAATGCCAAAGTGCATAGTAATCATAATTTATGGCTAAAAAGTAGTAAGAAACAATATATTTTTTGCTGCTGCTTTTTGAGGAGGTTTTCTGAGTATCTGTTTTATCTACATTGTATGCCATGTACTGTGTCACGTTGAGTAAAGAATATGTACATAATACCCGGACTGGACTTATACATGATACTTTTAGAAAAAAGAAATCTAAAAACATTGTAAAAGCTACACCATGTAAGATGCATCCATTTCCCCTTCTTCTAGTTCATTCTCCCATCTTGACCCTATCTTGAATTTGCAGACTGGGCATGTCCCCTGTTGCCTCAGCCATGGGTCTATGCAATTAGCATGGAACTGCAAAAATAACAAGTGGATGAATAGTTGATCTATATACAATATATTAGGTAGCAGGCCTACCATGTTGATCAACATTAATGACTTTTGCACTAGCTACAACCATGTATGCTTTTGGGGTTGTATACCGTCAACTCTCGTCCCCATAGAAACCTAGTACAACCCCAAAATATACATATTTGTATTCCATGCAAAAGGCACGGGTAACGATCTTTCCAATATTATGTCATCAAACATACCCCAACAAAAGTTTCTCATTGTTAAGAGTTCCACATTGAAAATATAAGAGAGGACATATGGATTTATAAAGCCATAAGTTAGACCAGCTAATTGATTGGATTCAGTCTTTTAGTGTGGTTTGGCCCATGTGCATTACAACCTTGGCCCAATCTTAGATTATATATATATATATATATATATATATATATATATATAATAATAACATGGTATCTGGTTAGGCTAATTGATATTGATTGGATTCAGTCTTTTAGTGTGGTTTGGCCCATGTGTATTACAACCCAATTGACTAACCTTAGCCCAATCTTAAGATTATAACACTCATAATATGTCAAAATTCATCATCATTGATAAGTTGTTAGTACTTTATTAAAGGAGCCTTCTGATGTCAATTGGTATATATAGGTGAAGCATAGGCTCATAAAATCACCATAAGGAGACAAACCTGATGCAAGCAAGGCAAGCTGCGAACGAGTTCTCCTTCGTTTACTTGTTCCAAGCAAACGCTGCAAGTTAGTTCATCATCGGAAGGCTTAGAAGACCCTGCAGAATTTACTGGCTCTTGCTTCTTCTGCTTAAAATATAAAAGGAAAGAATGAGGAATTGAAGCTTTCTTGCAGAAAATCACACCTGCACAACTATAGAAGCATTCTATTGGAGAATCCCAAGGACAATAGAGCAATGGCAGAAGGAACTCTGCTTATAGTGTCTAACACTTCCCACTAGGATTATTCAGATCCTCTACTCTAAATCATGAACAGAGAAGCATAAAATATAATCGTACAGAACAGCAATTGCAGAGTAAAATCCTTTTATAAGCACGTTGAAAAAGATAAGGAAAACAGTAACCTCTGCAGAGGACGAACTTGACACCTGCTGCCCTGATAATCCAGCACTACCAAAGAAATCAGAATGGAAATGTGTTAGTCCCAAAAAGTCTGTGTTTTTATTCTTTAATTTGCGAGTAAATCTTTCCCAGACAAGTGGTAAACAGTTTCACAATTAACACTAACACAGTAACACTACAAACAAACCCCCTTCTCCCAGCCAAAAGAACAAAGTGAATCATCCAGAGGGGGAAGAGGTATTGAGTTTAAGTGTGGCTGGAAAACACGCTTCAATGATGTACTTGTGATATGTATTGCATGGCACCCAAGTAGATTGATTGATAACATATATACAGAGTAGCACATTAACCCTGTTAGAAAACGGAGTAAACAAATTCGTTTTATCCTATGCATTTTTCTCAAATTGCATGCTACTTGTGGCCATTGCAACACAGAAGGAACACATTACAGTCAGGCATGTACAGATAAATTACCCCAAAGATTAAATAAACTTAAATAAATACATAAAAGGAACACTATAACTAACCTCTGAGGCCCAAATATCTTGTATTTATGAACAGGAAGAGCATTTATCTCTTCTTCAGTCATTGAAGGTGCCGTAGGAACATTATCAGCATCAAGTGCCCTCAGAGCTTCATAATCTAGAGGTAGCAACAAAAATGGATCAATCTTCAATCAAAATAAGGTGAAACTTTCCAGAAGTTTCAATACATTATGTTTCCAGATTGGGAAGAAGCAACACGAAAGGCGAAAGCAAGATATTAATGAATGAATTTGCACCTAAGTCATCAAACTCCCTGTCCAGAAGTGCAAGTTGAAGCCTGAGGCCTTGTAACCGTCCTCTGGTTGCAAGTGCAATAGACGGGGGCAGTGCAATGGATGAAGGCATATGCAGCCGCAACTCAGTATGACCAAGAAGGCCACTGGCTGCAACAGCATGAGCCTGTGCTTGAGCATGAAGTTGTTGACAGGTGGCATACATCCTGAGTGTTGTTGCCACCAGGAAGACACCAAGCACCAACCACAGCTGCAACAAGTAATTAATTTATTTCAAAACTCTTTTTCAATTCAAATTTTATTTGATTCAGAAATTTACATAAAAGAGAAGAGCAGAGTACCAACCAGAAAGTTAGGTGACATTTGGTGTGAGTTTAGAATCATGAACAGCAAGAGCACTAATACAAGAAAGAAGCATGTGTTATGCTTAGATACCGAGAGTAAAGCAGAACTACATACAACACCAAGTAAAAAATTTGCAATTAAGATTATACGTTAAGATACCTGTAACAAGAAAAGCAAGAGAGTTGGTATTAACAGGTCGTGCTGCATGAACACGCTGTCAGAGGTGGAAATCATGAATGAGTTAGAACAATTGTTTAATGGACGGAATATTGAAGAAAAATATTGAATATAGTCAGGTTTCAGGCAATTGGAGGCTACCACCGCACGCCTTTCAGGGATCAATCCTGGAAACCCAGATTCTATATCTGCTCTAGTTCCTCGGAATACAAAACTCATGATTTAAAGTTCTACAAAACTGTATCAACACAAAAAGAATTTCTTGTTTATTGGAAGTCCAGTAGAATAAGCACTTCCGCCTAAGATTTTCAAAAATCCTGCAATCCCAAAAACAAAAACGCTTAAGAAACATTTGCAGTTACATATTGAGTATAACATTGACAAGAACATGACACAATGGCAGTCAAGTTACTACAGTCCATATGAAGGTACACTACACAAAAAATTCCTAAATTTGAAGTATAGGAATTATGCTATAATATGCCCATTTAGTCTTACCTAGGTGTAATGCAATAGATTATTTATTCCTGAAGAGATAATTGCACCTCAATAGAACTCTAAAGCAGAATTTCATAGAACCACAGACAAAAGCAACGATTTTTACACCATTGATCACAATTCATCGAAATGTGCCCACGACCCAATATTCAAGCTAAGACATTTTTCTCACTGATGATCAGAAATTCTCAGGAAACACATGGCAGTTGACATTATCGCGAAAAATCCAGCTAAATTCAATTATTTCTATTAAAAAAAAAAACAAATAACAGCATCATCATCAACGGAAAGCAAACACCCGGAGCAAAATTAACAGGAAGAAACGCCCAAATTGAATTAATATCAGGAAAAGAAAACCCATGATTGAAAAGAAATGACGGAATATATAAAAATGGCAATTAGAAACAGAAATCGAAAGCTCACGGATCGGAATGGGGGCGAGAGCTGGTGAGAAAGGATGCAATGCGGAGGTGGGAAATTGGATTGCCAAAGCCGTAAAAGCGACCGGGCGAACGAGTTGGGGATGCGAAGGAGCGAGTTGACTCGGTCGCACCACTTTCAAAGTGCTCTTCAGGCTCTGGAGCTTTAAGACCGATATATGTTCCGCTGTCTTAAAACTGTATTATTATAATATTATTATGGAAATTTCCAGATTGCGTGCTGTACTGAAACGGTGCCGTTCTGGCAGAAGGTGCGTAATTGTTCCATACTTTGATTTGCTATTTTTAGATTTCTATAAATAGAAACGTCAGGGCCCTGTGGGCTTTGAATATGTATTCGGGCCTAGTTTTGATAATGGGCTATAAGGAAATAGGGCGGGAAATTTATGTTATGAAAAGTATAAAGTTGGTCCAAATAACTTAGTACCAATCATTATTCTATGGACCACGACAATAGAGATGAAGCTGCCGAAGACGAATCTCCGGCAGTTAATGTTTTTTTTTTTAATTTAGGTAATTGTTTTTAAAATTGATAATCGTCACGTCAGTATATTTTCAAATAAATAGATCATTTTGAAACTAATTGATTGAGTTTGTATTCAAGGATCTAATTGCATTTTTTTAGTTTGATGGTCAAATTGTAATTTAGTGTGCAGTTGAGTGATCTATTTGACTCTTATTCTCAATTCTCATATATTTTTTATTAAAATTGTAGGGATGAAGAGACTATAATGAGTGAAATTTTACATTTTTTTTTGTCAATAAAGTCTTGAAAAAGATATTTAATGAGTTAATACCCAAAATGGTCCTCGACTATAGTGGTTTTTTTTCAATTTTGTCCTAAACAATTTTGGTGACTTAATATAGTCCCAAAGTTCTGTGTTCTTACTCAATTTAGTACCAAACTTTTGTGTTTTTGCTCAATTTAGTCCCCCATTTGTTATTTCGTCCATTTGTTAAATAAATAGACAATTCAGTAATTTTAATATTGGCATCTCTTTACTCATAGACATGTGAAGTGCGAAATCCATCTTTTTTTTACGAATTACTCCCAAAATCACTCTTAAACCTGTGAATATAAAGTAGGTTTAGAAGTAATTCTAGGTGTAATTCGTGCAAGAAAGAAGGATTTCTCACTTCGAATGTTGAAAGTAAAGAGATGTCAATATTGATATTATTGAATTGTCTCTTTATTTAACACCAATTTGACGGAATAACAAACGGAGAACTAAATTGAGCGAAACACAAAAGTCTGGGACAATATTAGGTCACCAAAGTCATTTAGGACGAAATTGAAAAAACTCACTATAATCGAAGACAATTTTGGATATTAACTCGATATTTAATATAATTTGTCAAAAATGTCGTATTATTTACGAATATTCTTTGAACCGAATGTTACTACTTATTCTTAGGTATTGTCTGTCCTCTCACTTTCCACTTATTCCAAAACACAGAAAGCACAAATAATACAAAACTACAAAGTTGCATTAAATGGCATTATATTGGTGCCTCAAAATCCTCCGGTCCTTAAATATTTCTGCCAAATTTCTTCCAGCCATTGCATGGCCAATGACAGTTATTCCATGTCTCCTTTAATAGCTTGCCGTGATCAACCGGGCACATTCAATTTGTCCTTGTTGAAAGATTTTCTATTAAGAGGTTTCTAATCAATTAATATAAACTCGTAATGATGGGATATATAACTCTTGACTAACTTAACAAGACTTAAATCATTACTTACAAATAAAAAGAAGAGTGACCTAAGCAATTGCGCTCATACCTAAGCAGTCGGGTAAAAGTTAATAGTATACGGTGTATGACACGATCGGAGGTGTGCTCTTGATCACCCACCTTGTAGAACCATACCACCAACCAGCATGGACAAAGATTAGATAGTGATACTTGTATCTTAGAGCATATCTGCATACAAATTACCTCTTTATGATGCATGAGTTGGATACAAACGGTCTAGTATTCGACCTCAGCCCTGATAAGACTCAACCTAAGTATAGTCTGAAACTTGAAAACATGCTATCTTATTTATGAGAAGTATAGTTGGGAGATCCTTGTAATTGTTTTGTTTTAGGAGATTGTTTTCTTTATTATTTTGGTGATCTATTTCCTTATATTTTGATGGATTGATTTGTAATTAATGTCATTGATTGTAAGAATTTAGTTCGTATATTCCGTCATAATCCTTAATTGGTAGTTTAGGCTTGGCTTGTAAGAAGTACACAATTGTTTTTTTTTTCTTTTAATACTTTTAATTCCACTGAGGCTCAAACCCACAACTTCCTATGTGGGATGTGGGAGTTCAACTTGGTACCATGCATTGAACCACAATATCCTTGGTAGAATTACACAATCTCTTTAACTTAAAAGTAATAACAAGTCCTATTTTTTTGAATTTTCTTTAAGCTTGATGTGGTAAATACACTGATGTACACAAATATGTATGTCTTCTAGTGTTCGAGCTTAATTAGTTGTGAAAGTGAGTCAGACATTTCCAAGCGTATTCTCAGTTAGATAAAAATTCCAAAGTCCCTCCACCAAGTAATAAATGCTCAATAAATTACTGAGAATAGCTCAGAAACGTCTGATCTAATATCACAGCTATACGAGCTCAAACACTAGAGTACAAATATGTATTCGTGTACATCAGTGTATTTACCACATCAAAGCTTTTAGGGAAAATGGTCAAATAGGCCCTCGAACTTTAACTTAAAAGTCAATTAAGCCCCTAAACTTTTTAAAGGTGCAATTACACCCATCAACAATTCATTTAGGTGCAATGAAGCCCAAAAACAAGTTAATAACCTGCTATCACAGGTCATTAGGGTTCAGGTCACCTTCTGGCGAAATTTTTGGCAAAAAAAAAAAAAACAAAAAAGTGACCCGCGAAATTTTCAGCAAAAAAGTGACCGGCGGCGACTGTTTGTCGGTCGCCTGTCACTTTGTTTTTGCTGGAAATTTCGTCGGTCGGTCGCCGGTTACTTTTTTTTTTTTGCCGGAAGGTGGCCTGAACCCTAATCACCTGTGATAGCAGGTCATTAACTTGTTTTTGGACTTCATTGCACTTAAATGAATTGTTGATGGATGTAATTGTACCTTTAAAAAGTTTAGGGATCTAATTAACTTTTAAATTAAAGTTCAAGGATCTATTTGACCCTTTTCCCAAGCTTTTATACTTTGTTTTAGATTGGCTAGCCAGCCATTGACTATTTAGCCCGAAAACCCACCAATAGTATAAATACCTATGATAACCTATCATTTATGAGGAATGAGAATCTACTTGGTTTAACTCTCCAAAACCAATGAGAGATGACTGCTTTTTTTCTATATATATATATACAGGCATACAACTCAAACTGTAAATGCTTAGTTGGTGAAGTGAGAAGACAAACTACTCATCAATTCACCTCCAACTGATCACCTCCTTGTTGCCCTTCTCCCCTGTCACACTAAAAATATATTCTTAACTTTGAATATACTAATTAAGTTAACTTAACCCATCACATACAATCTTTTCTCTTTCAAATATGGACTGCAGCTGCACAAACCACAGTTGACTGTTGACATTTGACTACTAAACTGATTGCAAACTGGAAATTAAACAATTATATTAATTACATCCATGGCGGCTGCCAACCAGCACAAATGACTTTTCATTGTCAAAAGACTTTGTCGCACCATATATCTAACCACAATTTATAATGCATGCGTGAGACGCATGCAATTCCTGTTTGCAACTAGGCATTATATTCTTTTAGGAGTTTTAGCAGAGTAAAGTTTTTACACTGTGTCAGAATTATCGGACAAAAAAATAATTAAGGTTGATTTGTCTTGCCATTTAATGTAACTACTCAAATTTTAAAATAATGAAAAGCCAAAGAGAAGTAAAGCCATAAATGAATCTGACCCTCTTCAACCCTAATATAAGACATGTTTAGTGAAAATTTAATATCCAGTTGTGTGTATATATAGTATGAGAGAAAAAATTAAGTGTTAATTAGTACTAATGTCTTTTTGTATTGTGTATAATCATATATGTCATTTGAATTATATTAGATACTATCAGCATTTGTTCCCGCAGTACATGGTATTAAAGCCCGGCACCCGTGTGAATAAACATTTTAAATTTTTTTTAAATATTTTATACATTATTTATAGTTCGAATATATTAAACAGGTTTCAGGACGAGTTCAGGTATCATGCCAGTAATGTTAAACGAGTTTGGGACATGTACAAATTAATGTGAGTAATATTCGTTCAAGTTCATGAGTGACTAAACATGCTGAAACTCTACCTACATGTCTTCATCCTTTTTACCATTATGTTATTTGGGTTATATCTAATATTGTCTAAACAATATATAGTTCAAAAGGTACCATGGTCAACCAACATCTTATAAATCTCTTAGCTTATATTAATACACTATTGTTTATAGTTTGAAATATACTATGCATTTCTCAGACAAATTCAAGCTAATAAGTATCCTTCAAGACTTCCAAGTAATGTTAAACATGTATAAGACTTTCACGGTCGCTATCTGAATGTGCATTATGAGTGAAGTATATCTTGTGACCTTGAGTTGCTTATTGCTGGATGACTTAAAAATATTTAATTTATTAGACTAAACTTCACAAGTAATATTCAATCAAATTTGAATAATTCTCGATATATTTGAGTTGGAGAATGACTAAATGCGCAAATACCTTACTTGTTTTCGTGCTTTTAACATTATATTATTATATATCCAGTGTAAGAACAAGTCGCAATTGTACTATAAAAATACTCCATGGATACAAGGAAAAGGCAGCAGCAGTGGTAGTGCCCACAAATGAAGACCAGAAAGAAGAGAAAAGAGGTGACGACAACACCAAACATCTTTCACACATCCCAATTTTATCACTTTTTTCTTGTCGTTTCTTCATTCTTCCATCATGCCAACCATTCTTTATTTCTTTCCGCCACCATGTACTCCCCCTCTTTAATTTGTAGCCTAGTAGGTAAACTAGTTCACTCAATCTTTCTCTAAACAAATACACAAAATAATGTTCATCCCACTCAACTAATCAAAGTGTAACTACACTTTAATAAGACATGTTCTTTTCCTACAAAACATATATCACTCAAAAGTCAGAGTCCTTACAAACA